GTGTATTATGCTGCGCCGAAGAGCACGATGAAGCGGTAAGACCTTGGATACCGTGGGGTACCACGAAAGAAGAGTTAAGATTTCCGATACTGTTGGGCACTGAAAATGATGCAGAGCGCACCATTGTAGGCAGCATGACTCTCGACCACTGGCTTGCGCAATCACCCCGGAGCGAAGCTGATGTCTTGGATTTCATCGGCATCTCCCATGTTGAAGAATATCAGCATAGCTACCACAGACCTCTTGTAGAAGATCAGTTCAGCTACCCCAGACGTCCCGAAGTTCATGCGCTGTGTGTCATACCAGTCAACGGTAAACCAGGCGTATTTGAGAGGCGGGGTGTAGCTACAATCTCGAAGGAAGTATGGGATAAGACTGCTCAGTTCGATGAGAACATCATACTAGGATAGCGGACGACGTATCAATGGCTCTTCATACAGTGTAACACGCAATTGCAACGATGGAAATCAGCTATGACTGTTGTTAAAATGGCCTTATCCACAAGCAAGTGACAGTATGACAGGACGGCCTAACCCTCCGTGGAAGTAGATAGGAGTGGAATACTGGCATGATTCGCAGCTGCAAAATCCCCAAAAGACCCTAGCAAAGAGCATTAGCAATCTCTGTAAACTACATGCCCAGCCACCACTTACCTACGTGGAATTACACACGTCGCCGCAACCCACATTCTGGCGCGCCATGATCTTAGCGCTGCGCGGCGCGACAGCGCGCAGTTCCTAAACAGGCGCGGCGGACAAGTCTGCTGTAGCCTCATGTATTTTGCTCAAGAATATGTGGGTGTTGGCAATGAAGCTCTGGTAATCAACGGGGAAGGTCGTGGCGAAATCACCATTTGCAGCTGCATCGACGCAGATGCACCGCCCGGTGGTGTATGAGGAGTGCAGACCTTTTGGACCAAACTAAGGCTCTTTCCCGTACTGGCTGGTGGCCTAGAAGGTGTTAATGTTGAAGGACATCGCAGTACAGGTGTCGAAGCCGCCAACAGCGGTGACCGCTGGAGCAGTGAGAAAGGCAGCGAGGCCGATGGTGATGGCTTTGGAGAGGGTCATGGTTGCGTTAGAGTGGGGTGGGGTGGCAGGAATGATAAGTAGTATTGTATTATGTAGAAAATAGAGCAGGTATCAGATTGGTTGGCAGCTTGGTGATTGCTCATGACGAGCATGAAGCTCTCCTGATATAAAGATAGACGAGCACTGGAACAAGAGACTATCACGCCACCGCTTCTTTCCCCCTCATCTTGGGTCGGCGATGTCTGGTCAAGTTCCATAGGAGTCTCTTGCCAAAACTACCCTGGATGGCTGGGAAAGAACCGTTCCCAGTACAACTTCCTTCATGTTGGAAGTGAAGGCGGCGTTATGGGCGTGTAGCACGTCGTCCGTTCGATGGGCCATTCGCCAATGCCTTCTTGGCCAACAGCATACATATTGCAGCTGCATAGTCATGAATGCGCTTCTCCAAAATCATGGCTTAGGGTGCAATCGGACGTAAACCTGGTCGTGATTCCAGACGGTTGAAACTGATTAATATTAGGTCCACGTAGACTCCAGACCGTGGGCGGAGGAGACAGAGGCCTAACGTATCCAGGAAGCTGTAGAAGAAGTTGCTACGATTGAGGACGTCGGGATCGAGGCTAAAGATGTTGAGTCCGAGGGTCCTATACAGGGGTTGGCAGTATAACTTCTTTTATACTGCCAACCCCTATATAGGACCCTCGACCTCAGCGTCTTCAACACCAGCGTCTTCATCCTTGCCCTTGATGTCCTCAACTTCGACCTCCACATCCTCCACCCCCTCAGCCTATCGCAGGGCGATGCAGGCATAGTCTGAATACTGTTCGCATATTCCTGACGCACGTTGAGAGATTCCGTGTCTTGTGGTTGGGCTTTCGGTTCCTGCGTCCTAGTCTAGTGACCACTGTGAAGGCCTAGGGCTTGTTGCTAGCTCACTTGGTCCTTTTGTGCCAGTGAGCAGTACAAAGCGCATGGAATCGAACGCCTCATAGCCTCTCATAAACCGGCGCTTCTGTCTCGCTGAGTGTGACGAAGAAGGGGTCCTTGAAGGTCGTATGGTATGTGTGGAGCAGGGAAGTGTCGGGCTGTCCATGAACGATGATGCATCGCTAAGGACATGCTTGGAATAAGAGCGACTCTGCTGAGTGACCAGCTCGGGTGGAAGAAGTCAAAATGGTGTTTTGGATTGCTGGTCCGACACTCACAGCTCATCGCTGTTGTCTTGCTTCGTCGATGCAGATTTGCAGCGCCCAGAGCCAAGACCATCGTGGATGAAAGTTGACTTGCGCGCTCTGCAATATTCTTCGCCATCAGCCACGAAATGCAAAAACCTAACCCGTCGAAAGCTGGTACAATAGCATTATCGATCCAACAATGCTGCAGTTGATCGCGCCTCATGCCACGTCCGACTGGCCAGGCGGAGTTACGTCATGGACATTGTACGCATTACCGAAGTCGCTCTCGTGTATCGCATCAAACCACGAGTGATCAACGAGGTCAGTCCCTTCCAGCGATGTATTGTATGTTCCTCCATCGAATTGGGTAGCGGAGGGAGTTGAAGAAACAGACACGGGCCTATTGCTCCCAGGAACTAGCGCACCGTTATCGCGACTTGATCCCATGCTGGCCTGGCGACCAATCGCTGTAGCGGGTGAGTTGGTTTTGTCAAGAACGGCTTTCATTAGCGCACTGGACGACACATCCAGTGACACCAGGGCTCTTTCGAGAAAGTCTGCCGATTTGCTCGAGAGGCGTATGATCCATCTATACTGATCTAGATGCGCCCGGTATCTGCTTGCCTCCTCGATATTAGGGGATGTCACCCAAAGGAGCGAGATGAAAGACCCGATGAGTGTGAAGTTGTAGGTGGACGAGGAATACCAAAAGGATTGGAAGTGTTCAGGTCGGAGAGATTGAACGAAGCTCATGGCAGATGTGAGTCGGATCTGTGCTGCTTGCCGGCATATGGTGTGGAGTTCGAGATCGTCTGCTGGTGACAATGAGCGGATGATGCGTCGGTGGAGCGTCATTTCGACTGCGTAGTAGCCAAGATGAAGATAGCCGACGCTGGAGAGCTTCCTCGCCGCTATGTCCTGCACCTTTAGCGCTGCTGGCATGTTGGCATACCATTGGCGTAGTGTGAGCTGCAAAGGCTTCGCTGCATTGAGTAGTGACCGTACGCCTTCGTGCGCACGACTGGCGAAGTCGCGCTCGGCCTTTAGCGTATAGAAAGTCGATAGAATCTGCGCCAAGATCTCTGTAAGCTCTACCATGTAGCAGAACAAGATTCGGCCTTTCTCCACCTCAGTACTCCCGTCTTCGTCGTCCTCGTCAGCGGCGCTCTCAGGGAAGTCGTCGACAGTCAGAGGCTGTACATCCCAATCCATCGGCGTGATGTGCGAGGGGCGACCGTGCACCAGCGCACCCCATTTATCCTGCATGAATACAGCCCACGCTAAGCGTTTACGAAGACCGCACTCCCAGGCTGGGATATGCCACGTCGTACAGTCAAGTTGTAGTCCCATATCCTGCGCTAGCCCGACCAGTTGACATGTCAACGCCCAGCTGTTGCCCTCTGGTCGCTGAAGAAGCAGCAGCCCTGCCTGTATAGTCGAAAGCTTAGGCCTGTGAATGATGTTGCTGAACGACCTCATCGTCAAGGACTCTAGATGCGACACGTCTGGCTTCGATTGTAGTGCGAGCTCGCTGGAATACGACCACCAGTTAAGGGCTAGGAGATAAACTGCCGCTAATAGCGGCGGCGAGAACTCTCGATGAGTTCGCTCATACTTCTCAAGGAACACTTTCTTGTGCAGGATGGGGAAGCTGGGATGTACAATTCGAAAAAAGAGACGTATCAATGCAGCGCCATGTGGTGCGACGGCTATTTCGATAGCGTCAAGATCCGGAATGTCGCCCTGACTGTTGAGCGTACCGGCGTCGGGTGATGAGACGAACGTCGTTGCATGAGCGTCATCTACTTTTCGAAGCTTTGGATGCCCAGCCAAAGCATCAGCAGCGACAGCGGATTGAACTGGCTCAAGTGCCAATAAAAGACGTTCGTACTCCGAGGTTGAGCCGACAAGACGACTGTGCCTGCCAGTTTGCAGGCCCAGCGTCTTCTTCAGGAGCGAAGGGCCGTGTAGATTTGCGTAGTCATCGATTGGCGGATCCTGTCGGATTTTGGCAGTAGTATCCTGAGGTGATGTAGACTGGGCAGTGTTATTCCTGTAGTCGTTTGCAAGAGGCATTTGTCCACGGGTGGTTTCAGTAGGCTCAGAGGCCTCGTTGATGGCCACGGCACGTCGTTTCCGTGGTAGCGGGTTTTCATTGAACGTGCATTCTTGATCATGGAATTGACAAAGAACGCATGGTGGTCCGCTGTCTGATATTTCGCACCGTGACTTCCGTCGTCGACATGGATCGCATGGACGTCGCGATTTTGGCTTCGTAGTGTGGATGTTGGCTACACGCGGGAAGAGGTAGTTTGGCGGCGAGTTCTCACCAGATATGAAGTTCATGCTTGCATTTCAGCACGCAGTATGTGTCCGTCTTGGTGGCAGACGGGTAGCCCTAGACTGCTGTTGCTGAAATCGCGATACGTGGGACGCGTTCGCGTGACGAATTCGCGAGATGGCTGTTGATGGTGCTTTCTCCATGAATGCATATTATCACACTACCATTCCTGCTTGGCGCGCGTTGAACATAGCAAGTAGTTCATTGATGTCGCTGATGGCGTGGGTGCCATGTGCGTTGAGTAGGTCCACCCGCAGGCAGGTTGGGGAATGAAGACCACATTGGACGAAAGAAAGCCGAGGCGGCCCAGCCTTTGGAAGCACGGACCAAGCGTAAATTACTCAGCGACATCACCAAAATAACGCGAAAGCTTTGCGTCTCGTTCACAACATCATCTGTAGAAGGCAGAAGAGAACATTACTGGTCAAGATTGAGTACTTGGCGCAATATTGGTTAAGCCATATTAGCCATCTCCTTCTCCTTCGCCACAAGAGTTTCCTTATTCGATAGTTCCTCGCCCTCGAGAACCGGCGCGACCACCTCACCCTTTTGCGGCGGGTACACCGCGCATTCTACCAACGATCCTGTCGCCGGCGAAATATATGTACATACAACGTAGTGCGTAAAAAGCGAGAGGAAGAACCCAAAGATCCACGCAAACGTGTAGACTTTCCATGCGCCACCGATGTCCAGACCGTTGTCGATGCTCTTAGCAAAACCCGGAAGGAGCGGAGCGAATCCTACGACGAAGGACACATATGCCCTCCAGTTCCAGCCTCCATTGTACCAGTAGATGCCGCGATGCGTGTAGAGCTGATCCACATCCAGCTTGCATTTTTTGACGAGGTAATAGTCGCTGACCATCGTGCCTGCGAGAGGACCCATGAGGCATGAGTAGCCGCTCAAGAACGAGAGCAGACCCGACGCGTTCTTAATGATGTTCCATGGAGTGGATACGATGCAAAAGACGGAAATGATGATGGTGGCTCGGAAGATGTTGATATATTTTGGTAGCATGCCAGCTACATCGTTCGCGAACGGGTAGGTATCGGCTGCGATCTGGTTTCCGATTGTCGCAAGAAGGAAGCTGGCGGATACGAAGAACTTCGCAGCTCGAGAGTCGAACTTCGCGATGACGGTTGGCATATACCATTCGAACTCGCCCCAGAGGTACGAATGAGCATCGGTGACGAAGATCGGTGTGAGTGCGCCCAATGTTCCAATGATGGGGAGGGCGAGGAACTGATGATAGCCGGCGAGCTGATTCTTGGAGAACCTGCCGAAGTCTGGCATATTGACGGCCAAAGAGGAGAAGAGCCCAACGACAGCGTTGAGGCCGGTGAGCACTGAGTAGGTGGTGTTCATGTAAGTGGAAGTAATCTCCACCTTTCCTTTGATGAGCGGACCGCCACTGCATCTTAAGTCAGCATCGTCCATCGCTGGGAGCTAGAAAGAGACCACTCACCCCTTCGTGACTATGACGGCCCAAAGAAAGAGAGCGAAGAACGTGGGCGGCACGACGATACCCTTGATCCAAAAGAGGACGCGCAATTTCGAGATTGGCATGAGGGCGAGCGCAGTTTGCAAGAACCAGTACAAAAACAGGCATAGCAATCCAGCCGCTGTAAGGCTATTAGTAACGTCCCAGAATTATCTTAGCATGTTGGGTCTTACAGTCTATCCCGGCGCTCTCCGGTAGATGATTCGGAAATGTGATGAAGCTCGGCCAAATCGCCTCAAGGCAGCGTTGCAGGAAGTTGCTCGCCTGAACCGTGAGAATCGCAGCCCACATCATGGCGACGAAAGCTCGGATGCAGATAGCCGGGAACGATCCATACATGCCGAAGACGCTTCGGATGATGACGGGGAAGGACACATTGTATGTGGCACCCATCTTGCCCGTCAGTGTTATGACGACGCTGCAGATGGCGAAGCCGAAGAAGACAATTGGGATTGTCTCTCTCGCTGTGAAACCCAGAGCCATGACACTGCTTACAGTAGACGCCAAAGGAGGTGCGAGCATGTCGGAGCACCAGTACGCCCAGTAGTCGAGACCACCCCAGGTACGCTGTTCTGGTGGTACCGGGTCAAGATCTGGTATTGGCGCGACGATCAGCTTGAGCTCATTACATACGAACGTAGTCAGAAGACATACCTTTGTTCGACCAGCGCGAGCCATACTTGCCGCTTTCGAATGGCACCCTCAAATGAAGGTGAGGCGCAAGTCTCGCCTTTAGCACAGACATGGTTAAGAACAGCGCGGTGAATTCGGAAAATGCGAATGAAGAAGAACTACGTCCACAATTTATCAAGCTCTAGAGTCTTGGTCTTCGTGCCGTGATGGCTACGTACATCTCCGTATCAAGATCGCCTCCAGCTTGATAACCGTATCAGCTTCTGACATGGAGATAGTCGCTGATGACATGGCGGGGTGCATGCGGAGACGAACATGGTTCGGCATAATCCTTCAGACCACTACCGCTACGATCTGAGTTCGTGGACAGGCATGAAAGAGCGTTGGGCGCTGGGCATAATGGAGATTGCTCATCGAAGAGCCGGGCTAGACCGATCTGGTGCTAGCGTGTGCCGATACCGATAAGACACCTCCAAATCCCCAGGTGCCGCCCGTAGGCCCGTAGGCCAGCTGCATACTCCGTTCGCGGCCCGCGTTGGAGTCCCCACGTTCATGCGATGGAGTCGATATCGAACGTAGATATGGCGCGTCCACGTTCTCTGATGAACTCCTGTATATGTTGTTTTCTTACATGAGCGTGTCTGCCCATACACAACCTCCCAAGTACCGGGCCTCTCAATCACCACGGTATCACGAAGATGGCAAACACCTCACCCAATGGCAAGATGCTCTCTTTCGACGCGAAACCTTACGCGTTCTCTTTCCCTCTAGAGCATACCGCGTTACTCATCATCGACATGCAACGCGACTTCCTTCTAACGAAAGGATTCGGCGAAATCCAAGGCGGAAACTTGGAGGCGGTGCAAGCATCCATCGCCCCAACAAAAAAGCTATTGGAAGCATGTCGGGGTGCCGGCATGACCGTCTTCCACACCCGCGAAGGCCACAAACCAGATCTCTCGGACTGCCCATCGTCAAAATTGATCAGACAAGAAGCTGCGCCTGGCAACACCCAGCACAAACTAGTAATCGGCGACAAGGGCGAACTTGGCCGCCTGCTCACAAGAGGAGAATACGGACACGACATCATCGATGAGCTGAAGCCCGTTCCTGGGGAGGTTGTCATTGACAAACCCGGCAAAGGCTCGTTCTGGAATACGACTATTCTGCATCAGCTCAAAGCGAGAGCTATTACACATCTCATTGTCTCTGGTGTCACTACGGAGTGCTGTTTTGCTACTACTATTCGGGAAGCGAACGATCGCGGTTTCGAATGCTGTGGTATCGAGGAAGCTACTAGTGGATACAACGATGCTTGCTTCAAGAAGTCGACGCTGGATATGATACACTGGTCGCAGGGCCTTTTCGGATACATTGGTAGCTTGCAGCCGTTACTAGACGCACTATCGCCATTATCAAGCGAAAGGATTACCGCCAACTCTACGCCTCCTCAGACACCACCGACATTTGATGGCGACCTCACGATATCTGCTTTACAGCGAGCGTACAAGAGCGGACTTTCACCCGTAACTGTCGTTGAGGCGGTCTACGAAAAGATTGCAGCATACAAGGAGGTGGATCCAGCAGTCTGGATACACTTACAGCCACGTGAAGCAGCACTGGACGCTGCAAGAAAGTTAGCATCGACTTACCCCGACCGAAACGCACTTCCACCCCTGTTTGGCGTTCCCTTCAGCGTCAAAGACAGCATCGACATCGCTGGCCTCCCCACCACCACCGCATGTCCACCACTTGCACACGTGCCCTCGACCTCCGCTCCGGTATACGACAAAATCATCGCCGAAGGCGCCTTATTCATAGGGAAGGCCAACTTAGATCAGCTCGCTACCGGCCTCGTAGGATGTCGCAGCCCATACGGAATCCCACACTCAGTATACCACAAAGACTACATCAGCGGCGGATCAAGCAGCGGCAGCACAGTCTCTGTAGGCGCAAACCTCGTCTCCTTCTCACTCGCAACCGACACAGCCGGGTCAGGCAGAGTACCCGCTGGTTTCAACGGCATCGTCGGATACAAGCCTACACGAGGCACCATCTCCTTCCGAGGTATCACACCAGCATGCCTGTCACTAGACTGCATCGCGCTCTCCACAAAAACCGTATCCGACGCGCGAACCCTATGGCAAATCCTAGAAGGCCACGACTCCCTCGACCCCTACGCGAAACCAGAGATGGGCTTCGAACGCCACATCAACAGCATCGGCCCCCAATCCCGCACATTTAAATTCGGCATTCCGCCACCCGAAGCACTTGCCATATGCTCACCACCAGCCCGTCGCATGTTCAACGAAACGGTATCGAAACTCCAAGCCATCGGCGGCGTCCTCACACCAATCGACTGGTCGCCCTTCCAAAAAGCCGGTCAATTACTCTACGACGGCACATTCGTTTCTGAACGCCTCGCCTCGCTTCCAGACGACTTCCTCGCCAAGAACCGCGCAGCCCTCCACCCCGTAACCGCACAACTCATGGACGCCGTCGTCGCGCGGAAGAGCTCAGCCGTAGACGCTTACCGCGACCTGCAGGCCCAAGCCCTCTACACGCGACAAGCAGAGAAAGTCTTCGCGTACTCCGCATCTGGTGTTGATGTTGTCGTTGTACCGACTACGCCTACGCACTGGCGCATAGACGAGGTGCTCGCTGATCCGATTAAGAAGAATAGTATCCTGGGTGAGTTTACGCATTGTGGGAATGTGTTGGATCTTTGTGGGGTGGCGGTGCCGGCGGGGACTTATTCGGTGGAGGAATTGAGTGGGAAGGAGGGGGATGAGGGGGTGTTGCCGTTTAGTGTGACGTTTTTGGGGGCTTCGAGGTTGGATGCGGAGGTTTTGGAGGTTGCGCTGCGGTTTGAGGGGGGAGGTGTGAAATGAAACGGCCATGCAGGGTGTCGTTTTCGGATAGAGATAGGGCGGATAGCGTACAGCTATCACATGCGATGGGTTCATGATGCGAGGAGTACTCAGAGTGAGACAATGCGGAGATATCCAAGAAGTCTTACAACTCGAACACGGTTATCACCAGGCATGCTTTTATCTCACAACCTACCCGGGAAGACACTGAAGACATGACTTGCAATGTATCACTCATAGTCGCGGCTTCACTAATCTGATGTCTTGAAGTTCCGTTCGCTAGACGATATATCACCTGCTACGTAGCTCAACAGGATGGCAGAAAACAAACTCATCGATCAACTTATCTTCCAACAGCCCAGAATTGCCCTCTCATATCTACCGATCTCATCACGTAACTAACATCATGGCTCCAATCGCTGATAGAGAATGCGCCTACTCTGTCGACCACTACGACCCCGATATGCTGGCTAACGATGCAGATCAGCCTCCCATCGATCCTCCGGTCGATGCCCAATGCAAAGACGTCCAACATTCGCCTACCCAGCCAGAACCTCACTATCCCATCTTCCGCCCGCGCAAAGTCAACCGCTCCCAATCCCTCTCGCTACCTCCGCGCAGATCTCGCAACCCATTCTTACCTTCCGACCCATTCTCTCGCCTACACTACCTATCCCTCGCTATATCCACCGAGCTTGAAGCACTGAATCTATTGAGATGCATCGACAACCTTCAACACTTGCGTACCCATCCTGCGCTCAGACACAAGGCTAAAAAGCAGCACAGGAACAAACATCGACCAAGCACCATCATCACCAAGACAAAGACGAAGACGACTCAGAAGCAGACCTCAACGGACGGTCAGACCCAGGAGCAGACCCAGGAACAGACTAAGAAGACCTATACACTCAATGCCAAAGCAGCTGCATGTGGTACGGGCGGAGTTAAAAAGTGTAAGTATGGCACCTATCGGGTATTGGACCAGCAGGGGGATGATGTGGTAGATAGGGTGTGTAAGTTTCATAAGAGTAGGAAGGGTGAGGATAAGAGGGGTGAGGCATGTCAGTAGGAAGGGAGGATTTTGTGTAGCTTTCACGAGAGGTACTTGTGGTTGGTCGTTGTATTGATGTTGTCTTATACCGATTGTTACTCAAAGTGTCTGGAGAGGAACCTCAAGGCTTCTAGAAATATCATTCGCAATGTGTCATGTCCAAATTCTTGTCAAACCAATGTCTTTGAGAAGACGTTTGCTCGACAATACAATAACCCAACAGCGCTTAACAGGGGCGCAGACACCAAATCTCCACCTCAAAGTATCTGCCACGAGCCCTCAGTAATGGCTACTGAAGGAGTAGGTGGGACCATGTCTTCATGGGGAGACTACGCAACCAGGTGCCCTAGCGACTCTGAAATGATAGCCTACAAGAAGAGTGAGCCAACCATCATCCACGATATCGATCCCGAAAGTAACCGGCTCCCTGTTGAGAGCGCCCATCGTTTACATTACTACCGGGTCGTTCGTGAGCTTGTCTCAAGAACCCAGCTATCTCGCCCTCACACACCCGATAGCACACATTCCTCTTCATCTTCTTCATCTTCATCAACTCCATCCTCTTCTTCTTTGCTCACCTCGTCCCCCTCCTCCAGCTCCGAAGATGAAGACAGATACCAAAACACAGAGTACATCCCAGTCACCTCCCCCACAATCGCCGCACTAGACCTAGCCACCCCCGACAACCCTTTCCAATTCCTGCACACTCCACTCCAACTCCTTCACCACCTCCGCACCCACGCCCGCCCTTCAGGAAAACGTCAGAAGAAGCAAAACGAACGCTGCCATCCCAATCTCGACCAGATATGGGACGAGTCATATTACCAGTTCATCAACAGGAAGAAGCCACAATTACCTAGATGCCTGTACGGCAGTAGGCGGAAACTGGACCAACGGGGTGATGATCGACTAAGCGGGGTGTGTTGGTTTCATAGGTTGAATGTGGGTAGGGGGAGGGAGGATTGTCGGCGGGAGAGGGGGAGGAGGATGCGGTGATGGGGCAAGGGAAGGGTGTGAGAGAGAGAGGAGTTGGATTGAGGATGGGTAGCTGGCATGGGAGTGTGCGCCGACGTGGATTGAGGGGAGGAGACATGGCAGGCTGAAAGTCACCTGGGCAGCGTTGAGTTGAGCTCCACCACCGCCCCTCCGCCTCCCCTCCGCCTCCCCCACCCACCCGGAAGGGAAAGCGCAACAAGAAGAAGAACAAACACCCAGGTAGCAACGTCTACAAGAAGATGAAGGAAGCGAACCAGCCGATCACTAGAGCGGAAAAAGATCCAGTGTGCAGGTATAGTAGTAGGCGTGTGCTTGATGGGCCTGGAGATGATCGGGTGGGGCGGGTGTGTTCGTCCCATAGGTGGGAGGTGGGTAGGAGGCGTGATTACTGTCAGCGGTTGTTCGTGTGAGCGTGGGTGTGTTTAGTTTCTGCTGTTCTCGAGGTTTAGTATTGCATTTGCTTGCACATGTATAGAAGATAGAAGTCAATCGTAACAATCTTATAATTGCCCTAATGATAGAAAAATGCTATGCACAAGAACTACCCAAGCCCCACAAAAACAACGCGGACCATGCCGCTATGCCCAAATCCCCAAATTAAGTAAATCCAAAAAACCAACAAAACACCATGCTTCATATATACTCATGCCTTCAACCATCCATCATTCTTTACAGAGACAGCGCAACAGCCGCAAACAGCGCAACAACAAAACTAATCGTCGCACCGCTCTGCAACTTCCCACCCGCACTGTCCCCATGAATCCCCAGAATCTCCGCTTGACGCGAAAAGGTAACATTCTGCGGAATACTCTCATTCAAGCACTGTCCATTAACAATATCCAGTCCCGCAAGATCATTCGGCTCGCGGAAGAACATATAACTCCTGTTGTTCAGACCCTTGAAACCCTCGGTGTTGTACGGGAACCACATGTCGGAGTCGGTGGCAGACGTGTTGCGGAGGAAGATGCATTGGACCTGGTTGGGGTAGTCGTGAGCGAGTTCGGGGTAAGCCTTCATGACATCGCTGTTCGAAGTATCGGCGACGAGGACGAATTTGCGCGTGGGGAAAGTCTCAAAAACTTTAGTGAGGAGGAATTTGCGGATGGACAGCGTGGCGGATATATCTGAGAAGTTCAGAGGACGGGTGTCGAAGGAGCCGCCGGGGTAGGTTTTGTAGATGAAGTCCATGTACAGACGGGTCGCTTGCTCGGGGGTCGTGGTCAGGTAGTGGAAATGCGTGTTGTTGGGGAGGGTGCGGGACCAGTTTGCGTAGATCTCGGGCATGTTCATCCAGGGGGTGAAGGGGCGGGCGAAGGAGTTTAGGAGACCTTCTTTCGGGTCGTAGATTTTGGTTACGCGCAGGATGTCGTCGATGTCGGAGATGAAGGTTATGCCTTCGGAGGGGACGAGGAAGGCGGTGGCGTTGCCGCTGTTGGTGCCATTGGTGTAGACGTTTAGGCGCTGGACGTTGTTGGTTTCGTTGCCGGGGATGAGGCCGTTGGATTGGATGGGGACGAAGACGTCGAAGTCGCCGAGTTCGGTCGTCTCGTAGGGGAGCGTGAGGTTCTGGACGCCGCCGGGGGCTTCGATGGAGTTGCCGCCGCCGGGCTCGCCGTCGCCGCCCTGCATGGGCGCGGGCTCGAGCGACATGGAGACATTGACGTCGCCTTGCTGGACGATGAAGATGGAGCGCGTCAGGTTGCGTGCCTGCTCCTTCTGGTTGTCGGGCAGCTCGGCAACACTGGTGTCGATGAGGAAGACGTTGGCCAGGTCGTCGACCTTGTCCTGGCTGATATCCGGGAACTTGTACACATTGCCGTGGAAGCGCACATTCCAGCCCTGGTCGGTCCAGTTGGCGTAGGGAGGGATGTTGAGAACTTCAGTGGGCTTCGCAGCCAAGTCGTCGTCGCCGATGCCGAGGCTGGACAGGACTTCTTTGCCGGTGGGGAGGCCTTCGAACCAGCCGGGGATGCCTAGAGAAAAAGAGTCAGCACAAGCCTTACTAGTGCGAAGCTTGCCATGCAGGCGTTTGCTTACCCTCTGTGAAGAAGCTGGGCAGGTCTGTTCCCAGCACGCTGCCTATTGAGGCTGCGTAGTTGTCCACGCCGCTCTTGATGTCGTCGATGATGTTCCTCTTCTCCACGTAGCTGTGCCGCCCTACGAACCGGATCGCCGCGGGAGTCACAACAGGCGCGCGCACCTCGACCTTGGCGGGGACAGCCGTCGGCTCTGGTAGAGCGAATGCATTAGCGAGGCCGAGTGTCGCGCTCAGCAGGAGAGCCCGCTGGGATGCGCGTTGGTGCACCATCGTGGTGGTGTTGTTGTGGTGGCAGGGGCTGAAGACCAAGGGGCGCTCGCGTGGTCGTCGCGTAGAGGGAAATTAAAGTCGAAGCGACAGACTAAAGGGAATACAAAGAAATGCAGAGGACTGAGGAGGAGAGAAGAGGCGGACGGGCCGGCAAAGATGGCACGACGATGGCAATAGTGGAAACACGCTTGCCGCGTTTCGCACGGGCTAGACAGCAGGTTTGCGGTCAAATTGGTGGTGTTGGTTGCTGCAGGTACAGCCAGCATGATGTCATTCTGCATTGTGGCTGGGGCTGAGCCACAATGCGTCGATCGCCTCCCGTGACCCACCCTTACCAAACTGTCCACACCGCAACACTCCTTCGGGACTCGGCAGTCGCAGGTTCATGGCGAGACATATCTGGTACTAATGAAGGTTTTGATTGTTTTACATGCCGTTCGCAGAGACTACTCCCATGGTGCGGACGAAGGGTGATATGGAGTACTTGGAAGTAGCAGAGCTAACCCAGTGTGCTTCGTTCGACTCCCCAACGACAACCCAAGGCCCCAATAGCGGCATATCCCTCAACGCATCACCCATATGATGGTACCCCTTCCTCATGGGCCAACACATCTTCGAGTCGCCCAGCAACGTGTCCATCGGCCACCCACCGCGTCGCCGACAAGTGTCCCATGCTTCCATTAGCACGTCGTGCACCTTGTCGTTCGGAGCAATGTCCTTGATGATATGGAAAAGCGACCTCATGCACAACATAACCTGTTCTTGATCGCAATACCCCAGAGAGTTTGTATCCCAGTGTCCGGGGAGCGTGCTCGTCCAGCGTGTGCCAGATGGATGTCGCGTTTCTTCGCCGTACCACCCTATCATGTCTAGAGTGAAGTGCGGGAGTGTACTTTGGTAGGAGGTTAGGGGGGGTGCAACGCGGAGGTGGGCGACGGCGAGGGTTATGGTTGAGCAGATGGCTCTCTCGTCTTGTTGTGATATATGAGTCTTGGTGTTGTCGAGGAAGTGTCTATGCACCTTGCGTACAAGATCGGATTGAGCTACCAGGTCTGCGCGCTCAGAGTCGCAGAGTATCGTGTTTGTGTTGTCTGATACGGGCATGTTGTACAAGGCTGCGTTTAGCGAGTCGAAGTCCGCGTTGAAGGTTATTGCAACGATTTCGATGAGAAATCGACGGACCTGTTCGGTCTTGCATTCTGGTGGTTGTGCTTGCGGCGGAGAGGTGTATTTGATCTCGCTTTCAGCGATGTCCGTGTACTCAGGTGGCGGGCCTGAGGGTATGTCTTGGTGATTTCCTTGCGACATGTCTGATGGCGGAAGATAGGATATCTGGAAGCGACCTAGACGGCCTAGATCGAAAATCGGCATGATGGCGATGTTGAGATATGCTCAAGGGAGGTTGAAGTGAGACTGAGGAGGTGAAAGAGGGATATTGTGCGTCTGCCGAGAGTGCGCTGGTAGAACCAAGATTCAGAGTCGCCTCGTTCAGCGAAGAGTGGGCGAGTACCAACCCCCGTTGTCAAGACGACATGACCTCGTGAGGAAGAAGTTCTCTCGACCATCATGATGTTTGGAGACGATATATCGAAAGCGCGAAGCCGAAACGAGTGACTCAGCCCCAGTTGAAGCATACAACGACTTCGTAGATCGAGTTGCGGATAGCGTATTCTGGACGTCTTCGGCAAACCACAAGTGAGTTGTGAGCCAGGATTCGCAGCGCTCTCGAAAACGTCTCCAAGCGCAGCCTCTTCCAACAATGAATAAGAATACCCCCGTCCGCACCACTCCCTCTCATCACCGGGAGTGGCCCCAGGCCTAACCGCGGGGAGGTGGGGGACAAGGCCCTTAAAATATCCCCTAGATAACAAAGCTAATAGCTAACCATAACAGAGAAAGGTACGTTAGAAAAGAAAGACGAACAAACGAAAGAAAAGAAATCAACTACGTATATCAATACACTTACTAAACATACTTCTCAATAACACCATTCATACGCCCCTCAAACGCCGCCAACACCTCCCTCCTCTCCCTCCTCTCCCGCCTCTCCCACGGCATCTCATACCCCGCCCAACGGGCCCACCGGAGCAGCGCAATGGCCAAAACGGCCGTGATTATGTGTGCCACGAAGGCGTCGAAAACGCGCGTGGCGAAGGTGCAGTCGGACATGGTGAAGGAGACAGCTATGTAGAGGAGAGGTCGTGGGTTAGTAAGCGAAGCGAGTGGAAAGCGACTTTAAGGTATAGAGGGCGGGATTGCGTACCTAATCTCCTGTGTGTGGTAGCTGGAGAAGAGAAGAAAGAGTGCGAGGATGGGAATTACTACACTGTGGATGTGGGGGCGGGGAGGTGCGACGGGGGAGGCTGCTAAGTTTATGGGTGGGTTTTTGGTGCTTGATGTGTGGGTTGAGGAGCGAGTTCCTTGTGGTAGCCTGCGGACGATATTAGCACCGAAATTTTAGCAGGCGCGCTGTATTAATGCTTTTGAGGTATACATCGCAGGTAGCGGTAGCATGCATATATTTAGAGTTGTTGTTGATGTATACATAGTCTAGTGTAGCACACGGCTGTTGCTGTAGAACACTGCGAATGCCTCCACGCTACAGGGAAATGTTTACGAGCTCGGTCTTACTCACCGAGTTTTCTCTTAGAGACGGCATCTCTAGAGCGCTTGCCTTGTGATAGCCTAGAGGCGATATTAACCTTGGAATGTTGGCAAGCGCGTTCGCTGGGCACCTCTAGAGCATACGTTGGAGGCGGCAGCACCTGGGCAGCTCATATTCATTCTAGCATATACAGGCGGTATACATACTCCTGCCTACTCTCTTTGCGTTGCCCTAGAACATAGCATATACCTCCAGGATAAGGTATAACATCAACATAATCCACCAAAGCGTTCAACATATCCTCCAAAACCCTGTACACCCCCAATACCAACGCGTCGTACAGAACCGAACAAAAGCTATACCTGCTCCACTCCGCCCATCTCTCGCACTACTCCACCCTCTTCAAGCTTCCCCTAACGCGCGATACTCCAATACATCTCGAAAAGGTAGAGCCCGAAGTCTTCGATATCTTCGTCGACTGGATGTACGGTGTTTGTGTCTAGTGCCCACTGTCGAGTATCCTCGCAAACGTTGGCATATCTGCCCAGACTCGTGAGCCTCCGCCTCCGCCTCCGCAACTTGGAAGTTGTGGATCGACTGTTCGTCCATGGGCTTTGTTGTGTCCTGGAAGGCGCGCTTGGCCGCGGCCTTAACTTCGGGGGTGAGAGGGGTGGAAATCGTGTTTCTGCGCGATCTCTTGCTGTTGGCCTGGAGGTCGGGGGTTTTGTTGAAGTTGCGGCGCCGGCTTGAGGGTGGGGTCGTCTGTGGCCCTGCTGGCCTTGCGCTCTCTCTTGGGGGTGAGGCTGCCCTTGCGCTCTTTTCCGGGTGTCAGTGCTTGTACCTCTTCTTTCGACAGCAATTTGAAGCCTTTGGATTGCCAGATAGGAAACATGACCTGGGTGAGCGTGATTGGTGTGAGGCCGAGACGACCCTTCTTGGCCACGACCTCTTCGCTGATCGTATCAAAGTCGACGTGGCCCATAGAGCTCACATGACCAAGTTGATTTTGGTATACTGGTGCTGGGCTTGGGTCTACGCGATTACCGTAGTTACGCTGATAGTACGTGACTCACAGTCGTTCTCCGGCCTGCGATCTTGCGAATGCCATGAACCTGCCATCAAGGACGAGTGGTTCCCGTGCCATTTTGGTTCTTTCTTGTGGAATGGATAAGTAGGTGGAGTATTGCGGGGATTCTGGGAGTTAAGAGTCAGGGTGCCAGTTTCCTAAAAGATGTTTAAGTATCGCTCGTGCTTGGGAATCTATTGGGATCCATCACCAGGGGTAGTTTTCTAGGTACTATCTGTTTTGCATGTTGCTGCGTACAGACCACTATATCTTTATGAGTTGTAACTGCCGAAGACAATGTATACTCCTACCTTCATGATTGTTTTGTGAAATGTGACACGAATTGTAGATGCCTCTTTCTGAGGGTGCCGTAAATCAGCATACGGGATAAGAGGACGAACTAGGTGATGCACATTGGCAAAATCCAAATGGAAAGCATCGATACCAGTCCGTCGATCATGAAAGCTAGAGCAGCGAGGAGCGCAATGGCGTTCCGAAGACATGAGCATACACGGTAGGTATATCGGAGTCTGTACATCACCAAACATCAAAGAGAAACGTCCCAACGAAACCATAATGTCTGCTCCCAAACCACGCTTTCAAAAACTCATTCATCACATTGAAATCCATGTAAGCAACACACATGCATCCTCCCAAACTAAACTTCAATAAACCTCGCCATCCACGTCCGCGTAATCTGCTTCGCCTCATCCACCAACCCCATATCCAACAACAACTGCACAGTCCCCCGTGTCGCAGATTCAAGCGCACTAAAAATCCACGTATGCGTAAACGTCGCCGCCTCCCCAATAAACACAGTGTTGAACTCCGTCTGATAAAACGCCGGAAGATACAAGGTCTGTTGCCCGAAAATCTGCATCGTAAAAGCACCGGCTTGATGCTCATCTTGCTCCCAGCATTGACGCGCGTAGTTGCCAGTCCAGTTCTCTTCAATCACCTCCTCGCCATGCATTTCGGCAAACGCGCGTTTGATATACGCCATATGTTCGGCTTCGGGCATCGCACAGGCGACGGTGGCTTCGTAGTCAGACAAGTAAGAGGCGAGCATTGTTCCTGGGCCGCTGGCGTTGACTTGCCAGCTCGGGTAGCAGATCTGGCCGAGATTAGGCTGGTAGAGGCGCGTGCACCCGCCTATGATGGGCTTGTCGAGATGTTCCCAGAAGCGCGTTTTGAATTGCACGGCTACTTTGCATGCGTTGGCGAAGAGGGTGCGGTCGATGGCGCGTTTTAGCAGACTCGAGTAGCGGGGCAGGGTCCAGAATTTCATGAGGTTGAGGGGCACGCTGTTGAGTACGTAGTCGAAGTTTTCGATCGAGTCGGGGGTGGAGTAGGGTTCTGAGCCTGTGGGCCTCCAGGATACGGATATGGTTTTGTTGTTTTCGTTCCAGTGGAGGCCGTTGATTTTGGCGCCGTATTGGATGCGGTCTTTGACGAGGGGCTCGAAAGCTGCAGGCATTCTGGAAAGGCCGCCTTTGATCGTGACCCACTTGGACGCGAGAAAGTAGACGGTTTCGTACTCCCACATGGGCCAGTAGATGTGGGATTGGCCGACTTCGTCGGTTGTGTTGAGATCGTATTTGAGCTTGTTGCGCAGGTATGCTACTTCGGAGTAGTCGAACATGCCGTCGTCTTTGGCTTGTTTGTAGGCTTTGAAGATGTTAGTCGCGTACATCTTGATGCGCTCTGCGTCTAGGCCTTTGAACTCATCGAGAGCGGCGTTGGCCTCTTCAACAGCAGTGGCGTTGCCGTATGCGACGGTGTTCTTGTATGCAGGGTCGGTCGCTATCTCAGTCTTGCTGGGGATCGTTCCGTCAGGACGGCGGAAGGGACTGTCGGCTGGAGTGTTGGGAGATGACTGGATCCAGTCGATGAACTTGACGTGAAGCTCCTCCTTGTCAGCGTTGAGTTCGTTGAGAACATCGGCCAGTTGGAAGATCATGCGCTGGTCGTTGAAGGGGAAGGTCTCGTTGGTCTCAGAGTCTGTGATCTCGTACGGGAAACGCATGGGCCCAAGCTCGTGATATTGGCCTTCATCGGGGGAAGTGCCGTTGAGATAGGCTGTGCGAATGCGACCGCCAATACGCTGAGACGACTCGATGATCTTCCAATTGTGAATACCAACAGAGTCCAGCATCAACTATAAGGCGTTTTGTTAGCACCAAATTGGTGTCGTTATTGAAGCAATTACGTACTGAGGTTGCAAGCCCAGAGATACCTCCACCCAGAATACCAAAAGACTTATTCTTGGCCGATGCAACAAAAACCTCATCTGGCTGCTTTTGCTGCAAGTAAGCAACGCCATCGAACCAGTTGCTATCAGTCCCTGCAACATCAACGAACGACTTCCTCTCCTGTCGGCGAGCATAGCGCTTAGCGACAACAAGCTCGTCGGACTTTCCGATGAGCTCTCCATCGAGAAAAGCATGAAGACAGCCCCCAGACATCTCAGCCGGAGTCAACCAAACGAATTTGCTCGGTCGCCTATTCTCATGCTCCTCATGGCGTCTCGCCAAAGGATGAGCGCCCACATGCGTCTGACCTATGCGTTGTTTCGCGGAAACGATGGAAGCAGCAGCATCGTCACATGTCGCGTATGTGATCGTAAGCTCCCCATCAACATCTCCGTAATAGTCGATAACGATGTTTTGCGCGCTTCCCGGAGTAGTGCTTTTGAGAGGAGCGAAGACGACCGATGGCTGGCTCAGAGGCTTGGATTCCGAGAGCGAGGCAATGCTTGCCAGAAGTGGCAGTAACTTAGTGAAGGACGGCATGCCGGAGGTTGATGGAAGACGAAGTCGGTAATCAAGGACCTCATGCTATTGCTCTTCGACATGCCCGTTTATGAATCTTCAGAGGAATTCCTTGGCAATACCAAGCATCGCTGGTATCTACCTTGATGTCCATGATACCCACTGTTGAGTATTCATCAGTCATCCCGCGATGTTATCGTGCGGTGCCGTAGGCCTTTGCTCCAGGTGTAAGCCCACCGAGAAGCCGCCGGTCCACCTCCGGTGTCATACTTGGCAGAGGATATCAATTCTCCATCACAAAAGCCTTGTTCAATATCTCTGCGTGTTTTCAGAGTTTCAAGAAACAATACCCTTCTAATATGCGAAGGTATTGTTTTCGTAGCCAGCAACTGTTCGTCGGCATCCACCCACGTAATCCCAAATCCCAAAGTCTGGATGCTGGGCTTCGGCGCATCTGAAAGCCGATCCATGATTGGAGCGGGCAATATCCTTGAGTCTTGGCTGATAGATGTAGATAAGTGGGGGGATCAAGACAGTCCGTCGGCTGGGCGCTGCCCTTGCCAAGAGGAGAAAAGGTAAGATGCCAAGTACGCCTGGGTACGATTGGGTAGTTGTTCCGCTCCGAACAGCGGGCAGGTCCACCCGACTACGTTGCACGGCTTTCATGCTGTGATATTCTGCTGTCATCGTTTGCCCTGCACCAAGAGCGTATGGCATAACATATCTAGATCCGTTGTTGGTGTACAATCCGAGCTGAAATCTCTGCCGTCCATCTTTGAAGATGTCGCACAGAGCAGTAGATGCTGCTGCAATTACCACCTCGTCTGGCTGCGTTCCCGGATACTCTCTGAACTGCTTCAGCCAATGAATTCGATTACTCCGCCCTCTGGAAACTGCCTCTCCTCCGACTCGGCCCCTCAAGGACACCCATCTTCTCATCATTACTACTCCGTCTTTCCCCTCGTTCAGCCTCTTCACTCTCCTGAAGAACCTGTTCGTTCGAATCCGGTTCCACAACCTGCCCATGGTTACCGCCCACTGATTCCATGGTGAACGGACTAGCAGTCGGCGCATCAAGAACATTCAACTCTTCCTGTGTGAAGAAATTGGGCATCAAGAACGTCCGCATGGGGATGTACAAAAAGATAAAAACTGGGAAACCAATGGCAGCGATTGTCTGAGTAATCGCGAAAGTAGCACCGAAGCCAATGAGTTCGAGTCCGACGAAAGCCCAGATGACCCAGCGACGCTTGATTTGTGCCAATGGGTCGGATCGTGATGTGAGATGCTTGTCCTTTGCGAGGAAGAGGAGTTTTAGTGTGATGCCGTTTGCTTCTAGTGCCTGGATTCCCATGACGAAGAACAACCCAGCTAGTACAGCTTGTGGTATGAGGTGCAGTACGATGAGGAGTGGTCCGGTCATCGTTCCCAGAGTGAGGAGACCTTGAGCGAGGTTTGACACGCGCTGCTCTACCACATGGTCGACAACGCGTTTGCCATGGCCTTTGTTGTCTTCGTCGTCGGAATCGGCGACAGTGCGTGCAACGCAAAGTGATGTAGTGTGAAATGGCGCCTGCGGGATGAGACCGTTCGGGAATGGTATGCCTAGTAGGCCCGCAACTCCAGTCGTGATGCCCAAGAGAAAGATATCCCAATGGAAGCCTGCCGGTTTTCGCAGCGGAAATTCCGTGCCTTGCGCAATCAAACTGGAAACGTTGTGGTCGAACCAGAACAGAATCGTCAGAAGTACGGCGAAAGGAATAGCCAGGAACACATCGCCGACACTTATATCCCAGAAGTGGATGAACCATCCGCGATCTGTGGTCGGGAAGAATGCCTTCGAAGTAGGTAGCTTGAGCAACTCAATGCCAGCCATCTTTCCGATGTGTACGAAGCCAGTGAAGAAAATCACGGTAAGCGGTGTACCGTAGTCCTCGACAAACTTGCGAACATGGCGCTGCAGTAACGACGACTGTCCTACAATGCCGCAGATGTATGCGACCGCGGTGACCAGCAACGCAATCACAATCGAAAGGTATGCGGAAGCGTCGCTAACAGCCCATTGCCTCGTCAGCACCTGAATCCCCTTTTGTAGATATATGAATGCAACGTAGAACCCGAATATGTCGCAAGAGAAGCGCGTAACGTATCGTAAGCCGTTGCAGGAGTTTGTGATTGCGAGGATCCAGTGGAAGATCAATGACCATATGCCTATCCAGCACATGAAGGCGAAGTAGTTGGTGCCCCGTGGGGTGATGATGTCGTACACGGTGTAGTTGAAGACGGTAATTGGGCCGGTGACGCCCACGATGACTAGAGGTTGCGCTGCTGCGAGCGAGAAGACAACTGAGGCCAGCACTGAGGCAAGAAGAACCTCGTTAACGCCGAAGCTCTCGTTGGTCTTCTCGAACATGTCGAGCGAGAAGGCGAGCGCTGGCAGAATGTTCGCAAAGTACATGTAGACTGTCGCGGGCACGACGCGATAGTCCCACGCATCTTTCCAGTCGCTTAAGTAGAAAGGTGCTCGCCGCCGTATGTCGTTTATC